CACAACCAGTAGACGCCACGGCCGATCTGCCCGTATACGTGCGTGCCTAGACGTAGTTACTTGGGGCTCAATATTTCTCACACTATCCCTTTATAGAGAGGGACCTTCTTCTCACTTTTATTTGACCTGCATGCCCGCGTGTTTAGAGAGTTTTTGTCGCCTCTCATCTTGGGCCGACCCACAGCTGCCTAACAATAACTTACTAGTTCTTGAACTTGTGAGTTGAGGACGGTGATAAGGAGGGGCGAGAGAGAGAGAGGAGTTGGGAAGGGGGCAGCACGTGTAAGCAGTGTTACGCAGGTATGTCTGTCTGTCTGTCTGTCCACATGAAAATTTGATAAAGTTTAAATTTTTTCAAAGTCAGGTGAGCTCGCGTCGCGCCCTCTAGTGTAAAAAGCGTAAACCTGCTACGTGTCTCTTTACCAAAATCTGACTGGTGTTTTAAATTAAATGTCGATAGGAATCTGACTGAAATTTCATTGTAGCGGGAAATATTAAGGATTTCGCAAAAACAGTGAATCTGGGTAAACAGTTTATATAGAGATGGGTACCACAAGCAATCACGCTAGGGAGACAGAGAGAGGGAGAGAGAGAGAGAGAGAGAGAGAGAGAGAGAGAGAGAGAGAGAGCAGTAGTGAGCAGGCTGCAGTAGCAGGTTGAGCGAGTAGCAAAGTAGGCAGCAGCAGCAAGCGGGCAGCAGCAGGCAGGCCTGGAGTAGTGCAGTAGCAAGTAGCAGTACCAGTAGGAGTAGGCGAGTAGCAGTAGGGCGAGCAGAGCAGTAGCAGTTAGCAGCAGCAGTAGGCAGCTGCAGTAGCAAACAGCAGCAGCCAAGCAGAGCAGCAGCAACAGTAGCTTAGTAGTAGTAGTTAGGTGAGCCAGCGGCATGCAGTAGACAGAGCCGACAGCAGCAGCACGAGGCAGTAGCAGCAGGCAGCCAGCGCAAAGCAGGAAAGGCAGTAGCAGTTAGTATAGTAGTAGCAGCTGGTGTAGCAGTAGCAGTAGCAGCAGCAGGCAGCAGTACAGTTAGCAGTAGCAGCAGCAGCAAGCGAGTAGCGCAGTAGCAGTAGTAGGCATGTAGCAGCAGCAGCCAGCAGTAAAGCAGTAGCATGAGCAAGGCAAGCAGTAGCAGCAGCCGCAGTTAAAGCATTAAAATCTGTAGCGGTGCCGTTGTCAGTCTCGTGCCGAAAATCTATTCTATAGTTTTTACAGGTTTCTTCCCGCGCGCGTGCGTTAGTTGAGGTAACAAGTCGTGTTATTGCGGCTGAAGGCTTTACGCTCTTGCATCCCCTGCTGCTGCTGCGTGCTGTTCTCTCTAGCGCTCTCTCTCTCTCTGCTCCTCGCCGCTCTGCCCATCTCTCTCTCGTCTTCTCTGCTCTCTGCTCTTCTTTCTCTCTCTCTTTCTCGACTTTACTCTCTCTTTCTCTCTCTCTCTCGCCTCTCTCTACATTTCCTCCTCCCTTCTCCATTCCCTCTCCATCCCCCCTCTCTCTCTGCCTGTTGCTATCTCTCCCTCTCTTCATCCTCCACTCCCTCCGCTGTCCATCCCCAGCCTTCTCTATCTCTTTCCCTTTCCCTGCTGATGCTGTGCTGCTGCTTGCTCTCCCGTCCTCCATCTCTCCTCCTTCCCTCCCTGTCCCATCCCCCGCCTCTCTATGCTCTTTCTCTCTCCGCTGCTGCTGCTGCGTTGCTCTCCTCCCTCCACTCCCTCGCTCCCTCCCTGTCCATCCCCGCCTTCTATTCTCTTTCTCTGTCCCTTGCTATGCTGCTGCTGCTGTTGCTGAAATCATCACCGCGCATCTCGTAAAGCTACTGCGATGTTGCTGGGAATGCGATTAGGCGGCGGAGGCTGCGTCCTATCAAACGAGGCCAATCTGCAGCAGCGGCGGCAGCGGGTGCGGCGAGAAAAACCGCTCGCGTCACAATACTTGTTGGCTTGGCTGCACGTCGAAACACGAATAGACGAGTTGCCGGCCTACTCAGTCGCCGGATATCAGTGTACGCTCCGGCGTGTGTGCCACTGGCCAGATGCCACGCGCGCCGGATGTTAAATGCTGTTCTTGTCTAACAATGGCACTCTCTTTCACTCTCTCTTGCTCGCCTGGCTGTCCCTCTTTCGCGCTCCTCTCTCTCTTCTCCCGCCTCACTCTCTGTCGCTCTTTCGCTTCTCCTCTTCTCTTCTGTTTTTCTCGCTCTCACCACTCTCCTTCTCTCTCTCCTCTCTCCTTCTCTCTCTCTCTCTCTCTCTCTCTCTCTCTCTCTCTCTCTCTCTCTCTCTCTCTCTCTCTCTCTCTCTCTCTCTCTCTCTCTCTCTCTCTCTCTCTCTCTCCTCTCTCTCTCTCCTCTCGTCTCTCCTCTCTCTCTCTCTCTCTCTCTCTCTCTCTGCTCTCTCTCTCTCTCTCTCTCTTTCTCTCTCTCTCTCTCTCTCTCTCTCTCTCTCTCTCTCTCTCTCTCTCCCCCCACACACACACACAACACAACACACACACACCACACAACACACACCACACCACACACACACACACACACA